ATGTAGTTATTCAACTTCTGAGGTCAATTTCCCATCTGCAAAGATAATAACAATAACAGGCACAGCAGGTACGGGAAAAATCTGGGAGAAGATGGCTGCACTGGGTAAAGGTAGTATTAGACCCAAATACACTTCTCCAGGGTATAATTTTGCAAAAACTTCCATTTAAGCTACAGATAGTAACCCTCCTGGTTTGCATGACATTATTAACTTTAAGCTATGAGCCAACAATTAGCATATATGAAGCACTTGCTTTTTTTATTTGGTATTGGGGATTGAACTTGGGTCCCTGTGCTTGTGAGGCAGGCAGCAGCACCACTGAGCTAAATCCCGGGCCCTGAACCACTTGCTTTTAAACTTTAGGTTAATGAAGTACTCTAAGTGCCTCACGTAACTTGCCTCACAAGATTTTTTTTTCTTTTTATCGAGTTTATTGGTACAATCTAGGTATACAATACAGTTACATTCATTATTGGGATCCTGTACCTTTACATGATAGGTCTTGATTCTCCTTTTTTCCACTTGTCCCTGCCCTCCCTTCACCCCCTCCTCCCCCTCCCCATTTACAAACACTTTATTTCCATTTTTTCAGTTTCTCATATTTTTTCCTCTCCCTTATTACCTTCCCCCCACCCTTCCCACTTTCCCTACTCCTTTAGCCCTTTACTTCCTATTTCACATTATTAATTATCTCATTAGGATCCTGTGTACTATTATAGTTTTTTTAAAACTAAAAAGGAAAGTAAAAGAGAAAAGGCAATGATGTAACATTAAAATAATCCTTAATTCTGGAGATGAAAATGGTCCCTGAACATATTTAAATTGCTTCTTGCTCTTAGTCTTATCTTATTCTTTTTTTCATTATTTAGAGAATACTTTATTAGTTTCTATAATCAAACCCACGTAGATGTGACCTTACATATTTAGTATGATGTGTTACCCCTGTACACATGGAAAAAAATAAAAAATAAAAATGTAACATTTCTAGACCAATATGGTTGTCCATTTCTGTACAATACCAACTCAACACAGTAAATTGGGATGATTTTTTCCAAAGTTGACAGCACCGTTAAAGTTTCCCAAACTTCAATTTATATATATATATGTATATATATTTATATTTATATAAAAAGACTAATAATAGCAGTATTTTATGCATCAATACAGCTTTTTCAGGTTCTGCAGTCATCTGAAAAAAATTATAGACATTCAGCACACTCCATTAAAAAAACAAAAACAAAAAAACAAAGAAAAGAATAACACCCAGAAAACAGCAAAGTTCTGTTGCTATTGTGGTACCTGCACCATTTTTTTTAATTAGCATCTTAATCATCATCTAGAAAGAGAACATTCTAGAATAATATCATTAAAAATAGCACTGATAAAGCACGGTCACTACTACATATCATAAAGCAGGTACAAGATATTTTACATTCACAGAGGTATGATACAGTACTGTCCTACATGCCTCACAAGATTGTAGAGATACTATCCCTACATTACAGCAAACAAAAACACAGAAAGGTCAAGTCATTTGTTCAAGGTCACATGGTTGGCGAGCAGTAGAGTCAAGAGCTGAACTCTTGCCACAACAACAGGTAGTCTTCCAGATCACAGACTTGGCTACTTGTACTCAAAGTAAAAAGTCCTGATTCATATTATTTTTTCTTTCTTCCCTAGTTAAAAATCTTACCAAGACATTAACACAGTCCTGATTCTTGCTTGGAGATAGTCAGTCACTGGAACATCTAGCAGATCACAAATGAACTATTTAAATACACCTTTGAGACTAAATTACAAATTTGGGCCTTACTCTGGATGCCATCTCAAGAAAAAATGAAAATGTAACTGACCATACAACTAAAAATATTAAGAAAATCGTAAAGTTTTCTCTACATTTTCCCCTTCTCCATTCCTAAAGGGGCCAGGCTAGAGGAAGAAATGGCTTATCTATTTTTGAAATACAAAGAATGATCAAACGATATGGTGAACAATTTTATATAAGAACTTGTATTATAGTAAAAGAAGCACGGTCAAGAATGATAGCAAAGAAAAAATATGAGAAAATGAAAAAATGGAAATAAAGTGTTTGTAAATGGGGAGGGAGGAGGGCGTGAAGAGAGAGCAGGGACAAGGGGAAAAAATGAGAAGCAAGACCTGTCATGTAAAGATACAAGATCCCAATGATGAATGTAACTGTACTGTATACCTAAAATGTACCAATAAACTTAATGAAAAAAAAAAAAAGAATGAGAGCATAAGGGTGTTCAATGTAAGGGAGCCTATTTTGAGGGGGATTAATGGCAATGTGTCTTTTACTGTAATAAAATTTATTTTAAACATTCACCATATATTTTAATCACATCCATAACTTACTAATATCTACTTTAGACTCTTATCTGTCCAAATGTGGTTAAATGGATTCTACTCATTTGTAGAAAATAATTTAGGGCATCAAAGTCATAGCGATGGCAATGAGCTTCAGAGTAACGTTTCTCAAAAAGAAACTAAAATATATTCAACGAATACAAAAGTACTGAAAAAATGGTTCTAATTTAGTACATACTGTATTTTTTTCTTGAAAGCATCAATTTTACCCCACCCCACTCCCCCAAAAAACTTAGCTATCAAAGTTTTTCATTTCATTCCAACTCTGTTTCTATGTCTCTTTCCTTGCAAAAGGGACTAAAGACCAAAGATGGCACTCAGATAAAAGCACTGATATGGCACCTTCTCAAATCACTCATCATGCAGGATACACATGGCGTGTGAACAACTAACAGCTTTGTGTAGGAGGAATCCTCTTTTTCTACCCTTAAAATTGAAGAATTTTAATGAAATAGAATTATAAATTCCAGAATATTATCATTCAATTAAGACCAAACTGTGTTCAAACACAGCCCTTCCTCAACCTCATCATGTACAAGCATAAACGTACATGTGATTATTTACAAAAGTACATGCAAATATTCAAGTAATTTGATTTTTGTTAATATTTACAAGGCATCTGTCATCAATGCAATGGCTACATAATCCTCCCTCATGTTATGAATCATTATTAGTTACCATCACCAACTTAACTATTTTATTTTGCTTTTTACTGGCAGAAATATGGTATGCTGAATTTGAGAAGTCAGGGGGACAAAAACATAGAAGACATTTCACATAAAATATAATTTAGGAGCTCAGTCTACATTCAAGGTGAAATGGAATCCCAAGAAATGTTTAATTTGTCAGCATGAGCTTGTTGGAGGGGTGTGGACAGAATGGTGTGTTTGATGACTTGGGCAGTGTGCTAATGACAGCAATAAACTCATCCAACCCACAAATATAAATTAAAAAAGGGGAGCAAAAAAGAAAGGACAAACTTTAATGCAATGTTCTAAACACTTTACATGTGCTATTTTATTTAATGGTGCCAACAAACTTGAGGTAAGAAACATTATTAGCCTTCTTTTGAAGATTAAAAAAAGTGTAATTTAGAAAAGGCAAAGTAACTTGCTCAAACCCAACAGTAAGTATGAATCATGGAGGAGATGTAAGATTCAATCAACCTTGGTCTAGTCTTTTCTATATTGTGTACACTGATTAAAGATAACCAGGATCCTGGAGATAAACTGAACACCAGGCATCCCTGGACTGATATCAGTACCATGCATCACAACTCACAGAAATTCAGGCTTCCTTAAAAATATGTACAAAGAAAAAAGTGATTTTTCTCTCTTAAAGGAGAATTTCCATAGTTTCTATAAAGACATGACATTCATGTAGGCAGATATTCAACTTACTCAGAATGATGTAGCATGGTATTTTAAGTTCCATCTCTTGTATGTGTATTTCGTTGAGCTTATTCTGTTATCACTGACTTAGGTGATGAATCTTATCACACTTGCTAACAGAGAGATGTAATCTTGGAACTACTGCCCTTTGAAATTTTGAACTGCTCCTTGGAGAAAGAGGAGCCAAAGGGTAGACTATGGAGTTATCTCACACCAGAAAGTGTAAAAAATACAAAACGGAGCACTTGCAGGAAGTGTGGCTCTTAGGAAAAGATCCAGAAACTATGATGAATCACAGAACAAGAACTAAGTCCAGAGGCTGGCTGGACATGACCATCTTCCAAATCTTTCCCAGTCAATCTGGCACACAAAGCCATGTGGTGGCTATATCAGGCGCAGCATCTTGGACACTCACTGTGGGTGCCAGTTGCAAGTTTCTCAGCCTCTAAAAGGACCTTTCCTCATGACTTATCTTACCACATTCATGTCTTCCCTTCTAGCAAAACCATAGTGACCTCAGGGCAGGCAGAGTTTAGGCATCTTTGTAACTCCCACGGTGCTAAGGAACAGTACCAGGACACAATATGTTCTCCATAGTCACTTCATATACCTTCAGGATGCACTGCAGGACAGTATTGAGCTTCTGGGACTCTTCTATAAACCACTTCATAGTTATTGAAAACAGAACATGACAGGCTAAATAATGGCTCCCCAAAATAATCAGGCCCTAATCCCCAGAACTTGTACATGATATCCTACATAGGAAAATGTCTTCTCAAATGTGATTTCGAAGGATCACATCTTCGCAAGGATGGTGAGATGGGGAGATTTTCCTTGATTATCTGGATGGAACCAAGTGCAACCACTAATGTCTAATAAGTGGAAGACCTGACACAGACAGAAGAGGGGACAATGTGGTCACAGAGGTGGGGATGACAGTGATGTGGCCATTGGCAAAGAAATACTGGCAGCCACCAGAACCCCAAGAACAAGCAGACTCTCTCCCAGCCTTTGGAGGGAAAGACCTTGTTGACACCCTGATTTCAGTTTAGTGACACTGATCTGGGCTTCAGAGATGTGACAATTGAATAGTATTTGTAATATTAAGGCAAGATTGGAATAATTTGTTACAGTTAACTCTGGGAAACTTGCACACAGGCAAAGACCAATAATCCAAGAGCCTATTTTAGGAGAAAAAGCGAGGAACAGATTGGTAGTTACCTTGGCTCTGGATCATCTAAGAAGCTCCTGTAAGACTGCAATGCATGAGGCCATCAGTTTGGCCCTAAGACCTGTCCAACAATGCCTTGAGTTTTCACAGAAACCTCTGTACTGGTATCAACAAAAAATAAAAATGCTATTCAAGGGTCAAACAAATTGTACAAAAGATACTAGAAGACTGAAGGTCCATCTCCAAATTATCTTCCAACTGACTTGTGACTGTAGCCAGGAGCACACACAGGCAATCCCTTTCTCTTGCCCAAATTCTGTAAGTCTGTATTCACATAATAGGTGTAGCTTTCTTTCTGGAAAGACAAAAACAAAGGACCATTCTATTCACCATACCAAATTCCCTGGAAAGTCTGTTTGAAACTAGTTTGAGTCTACAGTGACACCACCCTGAACATTCCAGATCTTGTCCGAAACTATGGTTTCAGCTTCCCTGATCTGAAAACCTGAAATTTAGCATCTTTTCTTTTTTTCCCTTTTTGTTACCAGGAATCAAACTCAGTGCCTCCCACTTGCCAGGCAAGTGCTGTGCTGCTGAGCTACATTCCTGGCCCTTGAAAACCTGAAACCTAAATGCTCTCAAATACAAATTTTTTGGGAGCCACATGACACCATGAGTGTAAAACTCCACATGAAGTTTCATGGGACAGGTTTCAGTCAAAACAAGGTGCACTGAAAATACTGCATAAAGTTATCTTCAAGGTAGTATATCAACTGTGTACGAAACATAAATGAATTCTGTGTTTAGACCTGAGTGCCAGTCCCACAATACTTCATTATGTGTAAGCAAACATCCCCAAATAAAAAACACCCCATGTCTAAAAGATTCCTGGTCTCAATCAATTCACATAAGGGACAATTAATCTGACTTTTCCTCCTGTAAAACTTGAGGGATTCTGAAGAGACTATCTCCCAGGAATTTCCTCCGAAAAATCTGCTCCATTTTAATTTATGCATCCTGCGTGTCCAGGTGCAGCTGTAGATGGCTGAGTGTCGGTCACGCTCATCCTTCTCCACAGTATTGTATACATAAGCAGAATACAACTTTGTGAGATACTCAGATGAGATAATGGACTAACTAGATTGTATTTTCTGAAGTTGTACTGATGGGTGAGGTACTGCAGATGTTAAAACATCAAAAATTCTATTGGAATTATTTTGTTAAAGCTCATGGCAGTTTCATTTACAACTGCTGAAATGTGCAAGTAGCCAAGATGTTCTTCAGTAGATAAATGGCTAAATAAACTGCAGTATATCCAAGGAGTATTATTCTGTGCTAAAAGGAAATGAGCTATCAAGCCTTAGAAAGCCTAGAGGAAACTTAAATACATATTATTAAGTGAAAGAAGCTAACATGAAAAGACTACGTACTATATGATTTCAAATGTATGATAGTTTGAAAAGGACAAAACTGTGGAGATAGTACAAAGAGTAATGGCCTTTAGGGGAGTAGAGTGAAAGAAATGAACAGACAGGGCACAGAGGATTTTTTAGGACAGTGAAATTATTATGTATGATGCTGAATAGGTACATGTCAGTTATGGATTTTGGGAGACGAGGACTCCTTGTGTCAGTGCAGGTTTATCAATCAGTACACATGTGCTGTGCTGGTGGTGATGTTGACAGTAAGGGAGGTCACCTATGTGTTAAAAGATAGGGGAATACGTGAAGTATTGTAGTTTCAACTTCTGTTCCATGCTGTTCACAAACCTAGTAAATCTCCAAAAAATAAATCTATTTTAAAAAAAGACAAAACAAAAACAAAATTGTCCACCCAAATACTTAAAGTTTGATTGTGGCTTCCCTGTTATTACAGTTGCTTTAATATTGCCTAAGTAATGGAGACCATTTTAAAAACAGATCACAAATATACAATGAAAATCTCTTCAACTGTTTTTACCTATAATCTCAAAACATGAAAGGAAAACAATAAACCTTATCTGGAGGTTTAACCAAATGGAAACTGTGAGACTACCCTGGAGCTAGTACTTGTGGCTCAGAAATCACATACTCACATTTACCAGTTTTTGAAGGAGCAATAATACTTGTTCATGTCAGAACTACCATATTTTAATTTAGATGTTTCCTACGAAATCTGTGTGAACAGCTTCATGGTTAAAAAAAATAAAAATACACTGAATTTGCAGCCTTTCAGTGAAGCTGTTTTCTTCCCGGCCCAGATGCAACTTTTGCTTAAAAATCATAGATACAAAATCAGTCAACACCAAACCAAATTCAAAACCCTTGATAAGAAATACCACCAGATTATGAAACCTTTGCATTTATCTTAGCTGTAACTTAAGTAAGAAAATACCAGAAGGGACTAGGAAGGGGAAATCCCTCAGTTTATTTTAGGAGAAAGAAAAAGCAGAAAGCACAGTATATATATTTCTATGACAATGATTCATATTCAGATTTCCCATGTGTAAATTTGAAGATGGATAAAAATGTTATAGCAAGATGGATGTTCATGGAACCGAAGATGACCAGGACATCTAAACCTTCCTAATATAAACATTTCCTTACTCTGAGTCAACAGGACATGTTATTAGTCATGAGAGCACATTATTATATACCAGAAAATATATGAGCCAAAGGCAATAAACTGTTGTGCAAAAACTAGGTTATGTTAATTAAAATTATAAATAAAATAACAGCAGATATCAGAAGCAGTTTATTATTATAGGATCATAGCACATGGCTAGTGTGATCTTAACAAGCAGGAGCTTCATTGTCCATAACATGGGTCATTAAAATTCTGTACTTTTTAATGACACTGATCTGAAAATATCCACTTATCCCATATGCAATGTCATCTTGCTATTGCAAAGGGGGAATTTATATTGTTTCAAAAGAAAATTTGTTCTTTAAAAACTTGCTGGACTGGTGCATTAACTATACTGGGACTGAATTTGCTAGGAACCTAAGCCACTTCTCATTTTTAGCCTCATAAGATAATTTTATCAACCACCATTATCCAATAGTTAATGATGAACCCAAGGATACATACAACTATGCTCCAATTGAAAAATAAATCCATGAATGGCATATACAAGGTAATAATGTTTCTCCTCATTAAGTATAATTTTTCTTGTGTTGCTCGGTAAGTTTCTCTGAATCATTAAATCTCAGATTCTGGTTCATACACAGATGGACATGGAAAAATCCAGAAAAATAATCTGAGAGGAAGTACTAGGTACATCCTATGCCAAAAGCAGGTGAATATATTTTAGGCTCTCAGTAAGCTAAACTTACCATCATGTTCTACATTATATACAATTTTACAGGTAGTCATCTATTAAAGATACTGTGTAATCTAAACATTCAAGAAATACCAACAATACGAGTTAACAATCCATAGTTATTTGGAAAAAGTGTTTGTATAATAAACTCATCCATTCTACATTTAAATGAAGACCGAGTAACATGCAAAGCATTATACTAGACCCTAGGGGGATGAGAAAACCCATAAAGATCCCTGGTCTCAAAGAAGCCTAGAGGAGAAGATGTAAAAGGAGACAGATAGAAATATCTATAAATATAGGAGGGAATGTAACACGAGCCAAGGGCAAGGCATAAATAAAATACTATAGGGGAGCAGAGCAGAGGAAAAGCAGCATGACTGGTAGGGTTGGGGAGAAGAGAACCCTGGAAGGAAAGGGGTGCAGAAACAGAGGGAGAGAACAGCGAGAAGGCGGTCCACTCAGGCATAGTTATCAGAGGGCTGCCCACCAGTGAAACCCTGACCGTCAAAGGGAAAACGCTACCCAGGGATAGGACCACCTGCCTGCGGTGGGGGGAGAGGTATGGACTCCACTTAGAGGGGCACGAGGAGCCACAGAGGTAGCAACAAGAACAGATCTGAGTCCAGGAATGTTACTCGGGGTCAGGTCATCTGAGAAGTCCTGGCAGCCTCTTGGACTTTTGGTTTAATTTTCCGCATGCTTTTACAGTTGAAGTCTGTGGGTACCAAGCGGTTCCTCTTGTGAGCCTTGGGAGGCACCCATCAGCTTTGAGTTCATGTCTCTGTCTTAAGGGTATGAATGCAGTGCTTTTTGTGGATCCCCAAAGCTGTGTTCTTTGCCCACTTGAGAGTTACAGGTAGTAACAGCCATGCTGCTTATACAATCTAGCTTCTCACCCTGGTTATATCACACATAAGACCTAACAATTTGGATTCTTTTTTTTTTTTTTTTTTTTTTTTTTTTTTTTTTTTTTTTTTTTTTTTTTTTTTTTTTTTTTTTTTTTTTCTTCAAATAAGCAAAAGTGTTTGGGAGGGGTATGGCAGAGAGGCGGGAAGGGAAAATTGCAATAGTTGCCAGCAGATATTCACTATATGCGTGAAGAAAAAAATATCCCTGAAAATTCCTGTTTCATTTACCAACAGTTATGAGTGGCTAATCTTTTCTCCTTAGTTTCATCCAATGGTGCTTCAATTTGACGATCTAGTACATTAGATAACATGAAACATAAAGATTAAAGCAAATCCCCATTCATTATGCACCAGTAAACTGGTACAATGGGAGAATTAGCCAGACTTGGATATTCTCAAGGCTCAGAAAATAGCCAACTCACACAGACTTAAGCAGATTAAATTAGTTCACTTAAAACTGCACTATGTGGCGGAACTTCTCGTATTGACTCTAGCCAATTTTATATAGAATACAGCTCACGAATTCCCAGTCATTCTCCTTCCCAGGTGCAGAGAAGACTATGCTTTCCAGTCTCCTTGTGATCCACATCAGGCAGGGTTGTTCTAGGTGTGGCAGATACACTCTAAGGGTGGCACTCTGAATGGAGGCCACAGGAAGGTTCCATGCAACCTTCTCCGGTTCTATCTGTTGTGATTACGTGGCTCTGCTGCTTAACCTATGCTGGGCAGTTAATGTGAAGTTAGAAAGAAACCTGGGGTATGTTCAACAACTCAGATTTCAGGATATCCTAAGATAATTGTCTTTTTCAGTGACCAGCTCCTGTGAGTCATTCAGAGGAAAAACAAGAGTGCCATTTCTGTGCACATAACACAAGTCTCTGTGGGACAGTGATGTTCCCACCTAAATAAACAGCTTCTTTTTAGCAAAGATGATCTGATTACAATTTTGAATCACTCCTGGCAGTACTAATTCTCTGTTTCAAAGTTATGTTGGAAGAATATATCTCACTCTAAATTGTAAAAAACATTGCAGGAATTCTTTTCTCACACATTATTTCTAATAATATTACTTCATATCAACACTATTTTCACCTGCAACGAGATAAGGGACCACCTCTTACTAGCTGTGGCCTGGCCACTGTT